CCATTGAATATTTTATCTTACCAGCAGATATTCTACATTGGTAAATCTTTCTCGTTTTTACACGCTTATTTAGTTCACTCTCTCGTCTGCGAATCACGTGGTTTACGAGTACTTCGTAGGCCGAGAAATCCGTGGTGTCGCTGGAGACCCCCCTGGCGATTCATGCTGCATTTAGCATCATCATTGCATGTAGAGAGAGCATTTATCAATTTTAAAACCTCACCTGAATGATATTTATCACCATCAAACAACTATCGATTAAGAGATAGGAAGAATTGACCATACACATTGATAATTGACTGGGTTTAAATCAAATTGAATCTTATATGTACAATATAACAAAGGTTTTGTAAAGATAGAGGCTCCCTGACCGGCATTCATAGTTTTGTACTCATACTTCGGCCAGTATTTATACTTTTCTATCGACACTGACTTCTACTAATGATCAGGCCACTGAACAATTATTTGCGACCAATTGATGCATATTTAACACATTACTCTGTTAAATAAAGTATAAACGCAAAACTGTCAATAAATATATACAAATACATATCTAATAAACGAAACATTATGTTGACTTTATTCTTGTGGTGATAAAAAGTTAAAAACCTCATATGAGAGGTCAGGATGTGCTTTTTTATTTTTAATATCAACATCTTACCTTTTTCAAATTTTCTCTTTTTTTTCACATTATTAGCGTATATACTGATATTTGGCCTTAAATACCAATTTCTTGATTTGTCAGGAAACCTTTTTAAAAAAAATTGGGCCGTTGAGATACAGTCCACCACGCTTACGAAGGCCTGGCGATCAGGATATGCATTTCTATTTGTAATATATATATATGAAGATAGTTTTGTTAATATAGCAACATATGCAATATCTATAGAATATTATATTGAAATAATGTGTACTAGGCCAAATTTCCATTTCTCTTCGAATATATTTCTTCTTTTATTATTGGATTTATTTTGTTGAAGCGTTTCGCAAATTTTATTTTTATTAAACATGATAAGAATAATGAATATATAGTAACGCCAGGATTTTTATTTTTAATAAATTGACAAAAATAAAACAAGTCTAAATTGTAAAAATTAATTTGGAAATTTATAATTTATTAATATATTGTTCAGAATTAAGTGGAATCTTTATAATTTTTTATAATAAAAAAAATTACACGTCACTTATATTCGCGTTGATTGAAGTCGAGGGTTGGCTAACACAAATGGTTGTTCGGTGAAGGAGGTAAATAACGAGGCTTAGCGCAGTTATGCAAAGTAGCGGCTGGGTGGTCAGCGACTTGCCCGCATCGATCGCAGGTAGTTGGCTGACAGCTGCGTCGGACGGGAATTAATTACCGCGTTAATTTGTAGTTCTTCCTTCCACCTGGATCACCCTTCTTTGCCCTGAACTACTGGAGCCTCCGCTACTCAAAGATCCTATTGCTTTGGAATGCCATACTGAGGGGGGAATTAACGAAGTTCCTTTTGAGATATGAGAAGCTAGCTATTATAATTTACTTTAGGGACTATTTATGCACAGAGAGAGAGATGGAACCTCTCCAGTTTAAAATATCTTTAAAACAAATAAATTTTAATCACATCTGTACAGAAATCACCAAATCAGATGAAGATATGTTCCATAATACCAGGTTTAGAGAATAACTTTGATTTAACTACTTCCCTCCCCCCGACACACACAACACAAAGGTGTTGATACACATTCGTTCATTCCAATCGGTACGTTCTTCACAGGCGTGATGAACAAAATGCAATGATTTTATATGATTTAAAACGAGTGAGATCTCCTTTGTGTAGACAAGGGTAATTATGAGTTATGGATATGCGAACCACTATAATATGTGGCACTTAAACTCTGTAATTAAACAATTAATAGTTCTGAAACTTTAATCATTTTTTCTCCTAAATACATCAATTTTAGTCCCAATCGGACAACTCCATCAAGGTTCGTCGAATGTTTTGTTATAGAGTATACAAATGTTTCATTAATAAATGCATATATATATTTTTTAAATATTTATCATATTTTAATCTAAATATATTTAGGAAAGACACATAGGTCACATAAAAGGACAATGAGAAGTGGAAAAGATAACATCCAGGTATGTTCTGAGAGAATATAGCACATAGATGTGAAGTGTGCGTGGAGTAAGCACATCATCCCCTAAGAACATTAGAAGAAGAATGACGGTTGCCCCCACCAGAGTCTTCTATTGTTTGGATAATGGGGAAGATCTAAAGACCTCTAATCTATAGACAAGCAATCTGTTGGTTTCATTAGCTGACATTTTCCAAATCAAAAGGTAAATTGATACCACAGAGTATAGATAAAGTTAAAGGAATGGTCTATTATATATCTGAGATATAACTTCAATATTTAATTTTCGATAAAAAAAATCACGTTGACAGAAAGAGTTATTAACAGAACCTCTCAAAATATCAGATCTCTTACTTGGGCGGAATCAGAAATGGGATTGTAAGTTAATAACATATTTCTCTCGGGTTTATGATTATATATAGGATGGGAATTTGATAAGTTTAAAATATTTTTGAAAACACACTATGGATCCCATTTCCAGAAAAAATATATATTTTTGAATATAATTGGTATTTAGTTAAGGTTAATTTGATAAATATAACGTATAGTAGTAATAGTAAAATAGGATAGTCTATTCAGTTCTCTCATTATTGGTGAATAAAAACTACTGAAGAATCTCTTATCCACCAGTTTATTTCTTCCAAGGTCAGTCCAATGATCCATCGGACCAGGAGCACATGTGCTTTTTAGTTGGCAGAGCGCCATCTAGTGGAACAGAAATAAACTAAACATATAAATAATATAAACATATGCAATTATTTTCTTTATTTATCAAGAAATTAGGTTGGTCAAATATCAGGAAACAGGTTAAATCAATGTCAAGTTGATTTCTGTTCCACCAGATGGCATTCCGCCATCTTAAAAAGCAGATGTGCTCCTGGTCAGGATATACTTTCATTATTTCTAATATCAACACCTGACCCTTTTATATAACATTTACCACAAAAATTGTCCGTCAGGACTTCATGTAGATCAACCACAAGGGGAGACCAGGCAAATCATAATATGGATAATATCTATATATATTTATCAAATTGTTCCACAAATATTTTAAGGGGAGTGTACACTATTAATACATCATATATAAATTTAGGTTTGAAAACTCTGTTATTACATGATACTAAAAAACTGATTTAATAATTAATTTTATTTTGGTTTTACTAAAACCAAGGTTATTTATATTTTTAGACATATATATATATCAATTGATTTATATTTTCTGGACATAGACAATACCACAGGTTTCTGGAAATGAGTTTCATTGGATTTTATTAACGTAGTCTAAAGCCCTTCTACAGGAGAAACATAATAAACGAATAAAACGCAGCCTGGGATGCTAAACTATTACAATAAAAGGAATTTAACTTCAGAAACATGTGATATTGTTTAAATATATTAAAAAATAAATTAAATATTGATTTAAGAAGAAAATAAGCGATTATTTAATCCACAGAAATCAAAATTTGTATCACCCCATTAACCATTTTCCAAATTATTTCTTCAAAAACCGAATCAATAGAATTTTAGACATTCATTTCAAACAATACATGTGAATATAACCTAATTTTGAAGAATTTGAAAGGATCTTAAGATAAATCCTCTTTTCGAAAATCCGTTTTATATTGAATATTATTTAAAATCAAATTAGAGTTTGGAATGCCTCTTAAATTCTAAAGCGGTTTAAAATCTAACAAAAGGTAAATTGACAATGTGTAATATATTATGAAAAAAGGGCATCTCCTTATCGTGCAACTGAAAGTTGCTGATGGATAACGCCATCTATCGGAATAAATATCAACTATTATCGATGATTTTTAATTATTCTAGAATTGGCCAAATACCAATTCTTGATTAATCAAGTAAAGCTACCCACGGACGCGTTTCGGGCTGTTGGCCCTCATCAGCGTGGTGCAAGCTGTACCTCAACGACCAAAAAACTGGTCATTCAGGAATATTTCAGGAATAATTAAAAATCAACGATAAAAGTTGATATTTATTCCGATAGATGGCGCAAGCCATCAGCAACTTTCAGTTGCACGATAAGAAGATGCCTTTTTTCATAATTTATGAACCTTATCCCAGTATAATATCCCATTTGTACTATTTTTCACAATGTGTAATATATTATTTAATGAATACATTTTATAAAATATTGTATATGGTATATCGATATCAAAGACTATATTTTAAGTAATTAAAACATATTAATTCACCTAATATAAGAGGGTTTGGATAATAAAATATCTTACTAACCTTATTTAAAATCTAATATGAAAATACCCAAAACATTTAAGATTTTTATCAATATTTTAATCGAAGCTAAACTGAACCACTTTCAACGTTTATTTAAAATTTTGAAAGCTAAAAATTTAAGAAAAAAATATTTAGGAAATTTTAACGAATTATTCACAAACAGAAAAAGAAATTGGATTTGTAAAAGGGAATAAATTTGTAAAAATATAAAGTAAAGATTCTGTTAAAATGAAATTAATTTACTTGAAATATTGACTATTAGGAAGGTCCTTTTGAGAAATGAGTAAATACAAGCAACGTTAAAATAAGATTCAACTGTTTTAATTCATTTACTCTCTCTCTCGCTATATATTCTTTTTTTTTTTTTTCAGGAATAACTTTTCATATTTAGTATTCGTATGTCCTATATGTATCTCATTTTAATTAAAATCATTTTATTTTTATTATATATTTCAATAATATTAATTATTAATACAATATAATTCGGCTTATGATTGTAAACAACATTTAAATTATCCCGCATGTGTTTCTTTTGAACGAAAAATCTAAATTTATTCAAAGGAGAAAAAACGATTATTTCTAACCTTAGAAATAACCTTAGAAAACCTTACTTACCAACGGAGAAATATGTCCAGGGTAGCCTAGTAGACATGGCATCTGACTGGTAAGCGGAACATTGTGGGTTCGATTCCTATCCATTGTCACTTTTATTTTTCCGTTTATCATTACTCTTCACAATTCATCCTTTCATACTTCATCCCTAAGGTTAGAAATAATCGTTAATTCTCCTTTAAATAAATTTAGATTATACGTTCAAAATAAAAACAGGAGGGATAATTTCAAATATTAATTAATATTTATTTTATTGATCTCTCTCTAATCACTCTATATATACAATTCTCCCAAGCCCTCCCAATATTTTTCCTTAGCAGTAAGGACAGTAAAAATTTGATATATGTAAAAGAATGTGAAAGAAACATGCGTCTAAATGTTTTCATTTGCTATATATAGATTTCCATTTAAAAAGAAATATATCTATTTAGAATTAACCTTTTTATAGTGTATATGTGCGAAATCCGCACTACTTATCCATTATATCCATTAGAACAAGGTATATTTCGTTCTATAGTATTTGTATGCCATGGTATCGTATGTAAAAATAGGTATATTTTACATGCCCCTACTAAAATATTACTTCATTAACATTCCCCTATTCTTTAAATACTGTTCTCTATCCGATGCTTCAATTGAAATTTCTAGCTTCTTATCATTAATTGTTTGATTACCAAGAATTAAGTGCCATAAAACTAGTCCAATTCTTACATTCTTGCAGGTTTATCAGCGCACACTTTATTGCGCATCGTATATGATATCAACAATAAATAAATACATAAAAGGAAGGTCGTCGTCCCAAATCTTGAAGCTTTCAGAAACGGTGAGGCGCATATTTTTGTTTTCTATTTTGAGGAAAAAGACGAACTTTCTATTTATAGATCACAATTCCCCGGCATGATTTCAATCCAAAAATTATATTTTCTTTATGTATAAGATATAAACTAAATTGCGAAAGGCGATATATTAATCATTTTAAAATAAAATACAACCTTTCGCAATGAGTTTCTTTTATTATGATATTGATATTGATATCATAATAAAAGAAACTCATTGCGAAAGGTTGTATTTTATTTTAAAATTTGTAGAGCAATATTTTCGTTTACTCAAATATTAATCATTAATATAACTATAAAAGATAAATAAATATAAAAAGGTTTTAAAAATATATTTTTTTTTTTGTGGAGAGAACTCTTTCAATCATTGAGTATCTATATTCTATTATATATAACATATCGCCAGAGAATTAGTTCATTATCTTGTAATTAGTTCACAAAGGCACGTGAGTCCCATCGACCTATCGACAGTAAAACTATTATATATACGCGTTTAACGCGCGTTTAACGGTGGATAAAGGTAAATTAAATACGCATATACGCATGCGTCTTCTTGGCGGCGCTGTAAGCAAAGGAAACCCAAGCAGGTCGAATAAACAACACCTAATATATATAATACCTATATTTACACTTACGACCTGAAAAAGCATCAGTGTTAGACTTTACAGACACCTTTGTCTTTTTCTCTCGTCCTCCAAGACGATTATAGAGTCATATATATACGAACAAAAAACAATAAAATAATAACACACACAAAGCTTTATTGAGACCAGAGGTCTTATACAGATTCACCACAGGAAGAAGTAATAGATGGAGTTCCTATACTCCAGGCAGCGTAGCACCCAACAACAGCCTCCTGGTCCGATGCATGTTCAATGGCCACACGTTCCTTTGTGCATACGTCATGGTTAGCGAATCACTGAACAGGCGAGTGTGGAATCAGCCGCGTTCTAGTCTTCGCTTTCCTCGTCCAAATGGACCACGGCATTCGGCGATTTAATTTATCTCCTCCGAACGGTGACTGCGGCCTTGTAGAATTTATATAAATAAAAAAAAGACCTTGATCAAACGTCATTGCATTCATCCAGTTATAAATTTGTTGACTATCGGATTGAGACAAGGATAAATCACCCAAGAGTTCCCCTCTTTGTTTCTCCAAGTAACAGCAATCAAAAATAAAATAATAACAATGTTATTTTATTTTTAATATATTTGTTTCTACAATTTGGGGTGATACCATAGTCTGTAATAGTCCTCAAAGTTGCAATATTCGAATTTCTTATTGAAAAGCGATTCCTTATTTGAACATCTATCTAAATAGTCATTCATATTTACTTTTCCGTCAAAGAAGCGTTGCGTCCTACACCTACATAGGAATCCAGTTGTCTCTGTTTTAGGCTTTCTCGTCAAGTAGTCTGCGTATAAGCCGAGGATATGATATATATTCTGGATTGTTCTCTCCTGGGTTTCCGATATCGTGTCTATTCACCTAAGTAAATATTTTACAAACCACTGTAATTGCTTTTCCTAGCGATATTTACCAATGGGTGTGTAATTTTGAGTTCTCTCCTTAGAGAGAGAAATTTGACCTTGAATGTTAGGTTTATTTTTTATTCCCTATGAATTAAAATGTAATCCTGAATGTACATTCTAAATTCTGCATTATCATTAAGTAGTTTCAGGCATACAACAATAAACTCATATAATAATCAAGTATAATATTTTAAAGTTTTTCATGGACAAAATTTTTCATGTTGAACTAATATACACATTCTCTTTTCCACCTCCAATAGTTTTGAAATAAATAATGACTATTGAGAAAATATTACTTGGTTTTTGGAAATTATGATCTACATAATTCATATTTCACATCACTCATTCATTTGGGATCCGCTTCTCACTACTTCAATAATGTTTCTTCTAATTTAGTTTTCTAAATATTCTTCGCGGTATACGTGCCATTAGCATCAAGGTCGTTTATATTTTAGATGTCACCAACTCTGCACTCAAGCTTACACTAAAAAAGGGAGACAGAGAACCATCTAAATGCTGGGAT